CAGCAGCAGCGGCAAAAGTAGCAGCAGCAGCAGGGGGATGAACTAAGGCAGCTAGCAAACTACGCAGAGGGCCGCCTGCTGCTGCCTGCGTCGTTAAACCCTAAACCCTAAACCCTAAACCCTAAACCCTAAACCCTAAACCCTAAACCCTAAACCCTAAACCCCCACCCTAAACCCTAAACCCTAAACCCTAAACCCTAAACCCTAAACCCTAAACCCTAAACCCTAAACCCTAGGGTTTACCTTTGCGAACAGTGGCTAGCAGCCACCAGCCGAATTCGTCAAGTTTTCCTTCTTTTGCAAAACCCTCCAAAATAAAAGAAGTTTCTTTTACGAGGGTTTGCAGACTGCCCGGCCGAAGCCCCAATACCAAACCCTAAACCACACAAACCCTAAACCCTAAACCCTAAACCCTAAACCCCTTGTGAGGGTTTGCAGACTGCCGGGCCGAAGCCCTAGTACCAAACCCTAAACCACACACAAACCCTAAAGCCTAAACCCTAAACCCTAAACCCTAAGCCTGGAAGTAGAACTTGAGCTCCTCCTAAACCCGGAACCCTCGACCCTAAACCCTAAACCCTAAACCCTAAACCCTCACTCCTAAACCCTAACTCTTACGTTTTTTCGTTCCCCAGCTGCAACAAGATTTGTAGCTTTTGTTTGTTCTTGATTTAACTTTAAAAACAAATTGCAAAAAAGCAAAAAAGGAGTTTCTTGCCTCAAGTCCTCGCTGCAGCAAACCACAAATTAGGGTTTGGCGTGCGCCGCCTCTCTCTCCGGGCTTTAAAACGTAGGGTTTAGGGTTTAGGGTTTAGGGTTTAGGGTCACGGAGATGATAAAATGCTAGCAATTCAAACCACTTAAACCCTCAATTTTGCAAATTAGTGTAAATATAATGCACTAAACAAAGTTCAAAACTCAAACATTTTAATTTGAAATGAAAAAACGAAAATTCAAAAAGTGAAACTTGAATGCCAAAGGGCGTCATTCGGGTGTACGTACACCGCAGAAGTTGCAAATGCAGAAAAACTGGAAACTGGAAAAAAACGAAAAAGAGCAAAAAAGAAATAAATATAAATATAAATGATTATAAAATTAAAAACAAATTCAAATATTTGTTTAAATTGAAAAAGAAAGAAGGAAATAAAAAGGAAAATGAACTTGCAAAAAGAAAAACTCGCAAGTTCACGAAAATGCAAAAGTTCGGATTTTTCGGAAAAACGAAATAATTGAAATGTTTGAAATTCAAAACTGAAATGTAAAATCGAAATAAATGAATAAATGAAATTCATAAAAGGAAAAAAAGATAAAAAAGATAAAGACAAAAGGAGAAAATAAAAAAAGCAAATGAAGTGCCAGATGTTCTGCAACTCCGTCAAACAGGAAACATATTAGAAATTAAAAACTTTTTATTTAATTGAAAACAAAAATTTGATTTTAATTTAAAATTTAAAATTCCAAAATTTAAAATGAAGTAATAAATGAAACTGGGGCTGCATGCAGAGTGAGCTTTTCGGGTAAACGCGAAATAATTAATTAATTATTAATTAATTAATTGATAGTTAATTAATTAACTAATTATTAATAAATAAATAAATTTATAATAAAATTAATATTAATTAATTAATTAATTATTTAAATGCTAATTTTAATACCTGTGGCTGCATGCAGCGAATGCAGAAGGAGAAAACCCAAAGAAATCTCCTCGCCGCAAAAGAGAAGTCAAGTAAAGAGCCCGCTGAGACAAATTAATTAATTAATTAATTAATTAATTAATTAATTAATCAATTAATCAATTAATTAATTAGTTATTAATTAATTAAGTGATTAATTAATTGTAATTATAATATATATAAATAAATAATAAATTGTAAATAAATGGCAAAATGGAAAAAGAGCGAAAGCGCAGCGCCGGATCCACCCAAGGCAAAATTAAAAATGCGAAAATAAATAAAAAAATAAAAAAAAAATAAAAAATAATTTTAAAATGAATAAATGAAAATTGAAAATAAATAAATAATTATAAATGGAAATGGCAATAAATATACAATAAATAATAAATCATGAAGGCGACCGAAAGGGCCCAGCTCAAAAATAAAAAAAACGAAAAAAATGGCAAATTAAATTAAAAAGAAATAAAAGAAAAATTAAAAAAAGGAATAAAAGAAATAATCAAATAAATCCTTTCAAGGAACTCTTTATTTCACTAACAGCAATCCGCAGCAGCAGCAGCGCATGCAGCAAGCAGCAACGTGATTAAAATAAAACAAAATTAAATTCCATTAAATCAAATGATTACAAAATTAAATTCCATTAAATCAAATAATTGATTAATTAATTATTAACTCAGTTTAGTTCAAATGCAACGAAATAAGACAAACCAAAAGACCTACTTGCCCAAATAAAATAAAACAAAATACCGTTGTGTATAGATTTACTCTTTATTTATTTATTTATTTATTTATTTATTTATTTATTTATTTATTTATTTATTTATTTT